AACGCAGCACGATCCAGCAGTAAAAAACTAATTAGGATACCTCAAATAATATGAGTAAGTACCATATACATACTGTGTAAAATGAACTGCAACAGAAGTGGATACCATGTATTGTTCTTTGTGGCTGAAGTCCAAGAATAAGCCAGACACATGGGATAAAAAAACAGAATTCTGGCTTTCTGGTTTTATTGTCAGGCAACCTCTGGTATCAGAAATTCCAAGTTGGCAGAAATGCTGTACCTAGGTGATTCTGGCTTTCTGGTTTTATTGTCAGGCAACCTCTGGTATCAGAAATTCCCAGTTGGCAGAAATGCTGTACCTAGGTGAGGTAAGCATGTGTGCGTGTGTGTGTGTGTGTGTTGGTGTGTGTGTGTGTGTGTGTGTGTGCTTGTGTGTGTCCCAAATTATCGAGCTACAAAAAATGGTGCATTTAATACCTTGGGCTATCAATAATACAGTACCCAGTGGACATCAATCTTGTCAGGTTAATCTGACTTCTTCGTATGCCAGTTCCAGACAATTCTTTAATCCCTCCAGAAAGTATTCATACTACTATGGCTATTTATTCATATCAGAATTCCATCATGATATCTGTGGTTTCTCCAACATTAATTTTGGGAGATTTTATTATCCTATGAAGAGTCACACATATTAGATATTTTTCACAATGAACATAGAAACCAACTGTACTTGTAAGTCTAGACTTGTCCAGAAACACATGGTTTGTAAGAATTTAAAACCCAAACTGTCACTATAGATGCCAGTGTTGCTAATTTCATATTGTTATGGGTATACAAACTATACCTGTGATTTTATGGAAAACATTAATCATCAATTGCAGACCCCAAAGGCAGAGATAGGCATTATTCATAATCATATCCAGAGTTCTACATTTAGTGTCATAGTATTACAGATATGTGAAAAAATCCTAAATAGACTGGTCATTGGGAGGCCTGGTCATAACTATACATGTGTAAAAATAATACCAGGGAAGATTTTCCCACTCCCTTTTTTATGTAAGGGGAGAGAGCATTTATTCTTAAGAAATTGAAATTATATAAGAATTAAATCAGAAAATTCCATGAGATCAAGACATGACACAATAAAGGCAAATCTTTCAAGATGGAATCAGACATGTTTCATATGGACAGAAGAAAATTTACATCTGCAGGGGTCTGCTCCTTCCTTGTGCTCTTAGGTAGTCACCCTTCAATAATTTTCTTCTGCAATTTGTTAGCAGAAAGTATTTAATCAAGATCTTAACAGCAGGAAGATATGAGAATCTGCAAAGATGCACAAAGATTATATATATTTCAAAATAATGCATTGTATCCCATGTTTTCTTAAATTTCATGAAGTTAGTTTTCTTAAGGAAAGGACTCTGGATGTGCTTTTCAGAATGTCCATATTCTCTTCGTAAACTTATTCTTGAGCTCTTTTCACTCAGAATGAATTTTGATATTTGGAGATTTCTTAGAGTGTTGGCAGATGAAACATCCCCCGTGTAGGTTGACAGAGCTTAAGAAAACCAGATACCTGGGGAAAGTAAACAGCTGCCTACAAACCCTGCCACCTCCAGGAAAATCAATGTCCACCTAAAAACACCTAATTCACTTTCCAAATGAAAATGACAATTGGAGAGAGAAAGAGAGAGGAAGAATATAGAAATAAAAATCATTAGTAAAGGTGTTGTCTATGTACCAGATACTAAGGATTAAAGAAAGGCTTCCAAATACTGCTCATTCTAACTTGGGAAAACCATATATAGCTCTTCAATTTATAAGGAGGCAAAGAAGCAGGATATGAAGCACTCATAGCATCTCTCTGACAGACAGAATCTAATCCCCGGTTCTGTTTCTCAACATTCCTGTATGTACAGAAGTACTCACATGGAAATTCTACAAGGAGATTTATGAATCTGTCACTTACGTAAATACAGTTCTGTTCTATATTCCCCACTGTATCAATTCCCTCCTACCTCACATGTGTAATATAGCCTCAACTCTGTATCTGAGTGCCAGAGGAGTTTTCAGACTTCATTTCGATGAGTTCGTTAAAATCACGGCCCATTTAAAGTGCATGGTCTTATGGCCGCCTGCAGCAAGATGCACTGGACTCCGCACCATCTGGAAATCATTAATTCACAGTTCCTGTGAAATGCATTCTTCCTTCTACAGTTGTGTTTTTGACAGTCGTTATACAAAAAGGGATACAGTTCCTGTGAAATGCATTCTTCCTTCTACAGTTGTGTTTTTGACAGTCAATATATAAAAAGGGATGGGCAGGCCTAAAGTAATGGGGTGTAACATTATTAAATAAAAGGATCCAGAGACTGATATTGGGGTTCAAGCTTCAAGCTGAAATATCAGAAAAGCAAAGCAGCTGGCCTGTAGTTTTCACCTCTAGCTCAGTCTGAAAGGGCTGATTCAGGCACAAGTTCTTCACCAAGTCTCAAACTGCTGCCTCTCCTCAGTGTGACTGGAAAAAGAATGCCTCTACTCTTCAGTGTGGCTAGAGATTGAATGTCTCTCTGAGACCTTGCTTCTGTCTTATATACTTCCCTAATGTTGGAAGTAAAGGTATGAGCTATAATTCTCTTTTAGACTGATTTATTCCTGTGTAGATCTGGGTGGCTTTTGACACCCAGAGATCCGTCTATCTCTTAATCCCGAGTCCTAGGACTAAAGTGGGTACCACCACCTCCTAGCTTCTAGCTGCTGAGAATAAAGGTGTGTGCCTGTTTTTGCTTTTCTGAATCCTCGATCAAGCTTTACTAAAACATAAATAATATATCACTACCATGGTGAATGTTTGTTGCAGTTCATTAAAAGCCATTATAATTCCAGGGTACTTCATAATGTGCTAGATAGGCATGGTTTCACAGAACTTACACATTAGCAATTTTAGTCCTCACCAAAAAAAAGCTAAGAAGCAAGTTCTATTTTATGGATGATAGCAGCCATGCCATGGAAGATTTTCTGGTTTTTTTTTTTTTTTTCAAAGCAAAGAGGTCTGGCAAGATGGCTCAGTAGGTAAAGTTACCTGGACAAGCCTAATGACATGAGTTCAATCGTTGGAGTCCACATGATGAAAGGAAGAAAACAACTGGTACCATTTGTCCTCTGATGTCCTCCCAGGTACTGTGGTAATCAAGCACCCCCCCACACACACACAC